AACCCTGTAAGAAGATTAGCAATCTGGCAAGCTAAAGAACGGGATTTGAGTAACCAATTGAACAACATTTTGGCCCCCTGAATGCATGGAGCTCAAGTAATTTTCAGTTATGTTTAAGCAATAGTAAACGTTTATGCATTACTTATTCAACTGTAATACAATTACGTATGTACTTGGTAGGAGAGCCCGATGAGCAACTCTTGGGCAATAGTTGTCCCTTTGCACGTGTTTGGAGTCCTGATGAGCTGTCATCCATTCCGCGGCTCACCAAAACAAGAGTGGCAGCAAATACTGCCTGCCTGCAATATGCAATTAAAAGAAAGGAACAACAAAAGAAGCAACCACAAACCGAATGTTTTTCATTTGAAGATCCGGTTACTGCCAAAATTCCATTACAAGACAGGCACAAATTTCAGACTAGACGCCTTCCCGCCGTAATCATACAAAAACATGGAAAAAAGACACTTTCCTTCCAACTCAGGTAATTATTCTCCTGATTAAGATGGTATGTAAAACACCAAAGAGACCATATTCCACTTCTTGAGAACAAACATGAAAGTTCAGTGCAAAATTAACGGAAAAAATAAAGATGAATGTGATGACGCCATTTTCTCTGATGCCCAGTCGGAGTTATCCACTGATCGGGAAGTCGGCGATGATTTTATTAATGATATGGGCGCCAATACCAGTTTGGGGTCCAGACGACGAAAGCTGGAGTCGGCACACGAGGCCACAAATCCTAATTAAGGGAGGATATTGCCAGTTGTGCGCGAGTGCAGCACCACAACAAGTCGACTAGTCAAGAATGTAGAGAAGAAAAAGAACTCAAACAAGGTGACGAAGTATCTTAAAGCTCTAGGCATTGGGATGCTTAACATACAGTGGAAATCACTTCTCCTGTAGGGAGGATGTTCGGGACTCTAAGCAAAATCTCAATAACTCAGCCAAGAGCCCATAGTGGAATATCTCAAGTTGTCAACGGAAGTGGGCTTACACGGTATGTGCCACCAGGATTTGCATGGCCAATGGATGATTCTGCAAAAGCACTAGTTGCGTCGATGCAGAATAGAATGGATGTCCCGGCTTGCTGGGATAGTGAGAATATTGACATGTACAGAAGAGGGTTCAATCATTCAGTAAAAAGGATCAAGAGCTCTGGGTTCTGCGGGGGAATTTTTTACGGCTGATGAGGTCAGGGAACGAGCAAACCGCAGAGGCAGAAGAGGAATGTTGTAAGACATCAGTATGCGGGACTACCTAGACGACAAAATTTTTGAAAAACAAGTAAATGCAGATAGGAAATGCTTCATTGAAGGGGACCCAATCTGCGATACATTACTGTGATGGCGAAGTACGAAAGGAAAGAAAGTAGTGAAGCGGCAGTAAGACCAAAACCAAGGGTGATACAATATGCCCCGATCCCGGTACGTGTGAACATGCTACGTGTTGCAGGAAAACTGTGGTCGTTCGTGATGTCAAATCATGATGCTCTTCCATTCATGGCGCCACCATATGGACAACTAGGGATGGGAGGATACAAAGAATCATTCTGGAGTGGATTGAGTCGTCCAGCGTAGAGTCCAATGTAAAGAAGAAAAATAACTCAAACATAGTGACGAAGTATCTTAAAGCTCTAGGCATCGGGATGCTTAACATACAGTGGAAAACTTCTCCTGTATGGGAGGATGTTCGGGACGTTAGGAGGATGTTAGGAATCGCAGCACAAGCGCGTTATTTTTCAGGTCTAGGTAGGAAGAAGAAGAAGAGGAAGAGGACGAAGAGAAAGGGGGAGAAAGCCTTTTAGGTTTCGAGGAGAGAGATAATGGAGTGAATAGAAGCCTGGGTTTTCAGGTAGGTGAAAACCGGAGAACAACGGGAGAGGGGAATAAAACGGCAAGGAAAGAAGAACGGGATTTCAGTTAGGTAGAGCCAGGAGCGACTACGAGGGAGACACCCGTGGAGGCTACCTAGGTCTACGCGAAGAAAGGACGAACGTGAGAGAGGTAGAAGAAACCGGCGACGCGTTAATTCTTCAACATTAGTCTAGTGGTTATAGGATCCGCTGCATATACGAATGCAGGGGAATTATTTTTAGTCTAGTAAGAAGCAATAAAACTATAACCGTACAGTTAACCGAATCTAACTGTGTTCCGTTCCACTGGTACTACTTGTTATAGATGCTACGGCATCACCGTCCTGCCTCACGGCAGGAGAGAACACTGAATCCATATAACTATACACACGCGTTAACTATACACACGCCTGTCATACCGTAGTCGGCTACCCCTAGGGCCACTACACTATTCTGCATAGTGTTTATTGTATTTAGGCAAAGAAAATTTCGTCTCTTGCTTATAAAATGTTTACTTTAACGCATGTGCAAGAATTAGGTATTCGATTAGTAAAAGGAGGACATAACCTTCTAGTTTTGGGACAAGCAGGTATTTGCACATAATTGATTTACACATAATACGTACTAATTAACCTACTAAACCTAGTCAATGGCTAATCCAGGGGGTGGCACAACCACAGGGGGCAGTCGCTCCCCTAGAATTTTCAGGGCAATTAGGGTATTTTAGCCTAGATAAAACCCCCTCGGGCGTTTCATACCCCACTCGCACCCCCCCCTAAAATTCACTTCTGGATCATTCATGACACAGTAAATTCGTAATTCATAACAATTAATTTTTAGAAACATGCAATCAAGAGCGTATTAAGCAGAATGCTCGATTGCGAAAGACTTTATTAAGACACTCTTGAAACAATATACACCGAGAGTCCATAATAAAGATATAATCTCTTAATATATACCCTTGATATATATTATATATATTATATATTCAAATATACAACAGAATATGGGATATTTATATTTTTAGCTGCAAAGTCCGAGCTCAGTGAAAAATGAGGGAAGTGCAAAGGCCCGCAACCTCCTGAAGCTTCTGAAGGATCGACATGTGGTGCACTGGTTGAACCTTTCCTGGGACATTGTCACCCGTCTTAGCAGGGTGTCGGAGGTCATCCAGTACCAAAACGCAACTCTGGCCGACGTTTGTATTGAGCTGGACAGCGCAAAGGCTTGTCTGTCGAAATATGTGCACAGGTAAACTTGAATATTTTTTAGCTTGTAGTATCATCATATGTAGAAAAAAAAAAAAAAAAGAAGAAGAAGAAAAAAAAAAAAAAAAAAATTATTGTATATTCACTTGTAGAGCATGCTAGCAATAAAATGCATGCATGCATTACATATTCAATATAACCACTGTAGTTTGCCAAAAATGTCCTATTAATTTAGTCTACCTAACTAATAGCACAATATACTGCATAGCAAGATGTGTAACATGAGATATAAATTTAAAAATTTAGTAATGGTTTCTATTGGTGTGCTTGCCTGCTTAGTCTTTTCTATATTGCTTGCTTTCTGCTTAATCAGCTATGCATGTCCTGAATTCTTCTCTTTATTGATGGTCCACATTTAAGGAAGGTCACCAAAGATGATGCAGAAGGGTTGGCCACAAACAGCAGGGCCAAACTACTCAACGATTTGTGCCGCAACATCACCAACAGATTTGCTGGTGACATGGCGTTGTTCCGAGCTAGCGCTATATTATCATTCCAAAGATGGCCTGACATTAAAGAGAAAATAGGTATTCCATAAGAAAGAAACTATTGTTCTTTATATCAACAATGTTTCCAGATATATTTTCTTTTAACTAGCGTTTAATACAATATCTGCATTCACAGATTTTGGTGATGAGGTCGCAGATCTCGTGCGAATAAGCGAGCCAGCACTGGCAGCATGTGCCCCAGAAGTCGAGATGGGAGCCAATGAGCCGGAATGGACCCGGCTGAAAACAAGTTTCAGCGCCAGGTATATGTTCTACCTTTATGTATGTAGACAATTAAATATCACTGTAGGCCAAATGTTTTAGAAGTAACTCTAATATACAACAAGCATGATTATTCCCTCATTATTTTTGAATTGTAGAATTTTGGGGATTTCTTTGTGTAAAAAATATCTCATTTTCATTACAGATCTGTGGCTCTTGACACAATGACAGGGGAGACAGCTTACAAGGAAGAGGGAGCACGATGCCCAAATTTGTTCACCCTGGTTGACTACCTCCTTACCCTACCTTCCAGTTCTGTGGATGCAGAGCGAGGAATTTCAAGGTATTTATTTCTATCTACTAGTACTACCTAGTACCTAGAGTACCTAGCTAAGCTTTATCATATGAAGTTAAGTACCAGGTAATTAAAAATAATAAAATAATGTAGTTCCAACGCATTAACAGCTACATGATAAGGACAAACTGTTGTGGGTATCGAGTTACGTAGTATATTTATGTTATTTGGCGAATTAAACTACTTCAGACTACTTCAGGATTATTAGTTTTGGCGGATCATTGATAGTATATGTCCGGTGCACAAATGTTGGTGTGATAGCTGACTATTATGCCTTCATGGGAGCACTCACAATGAAACGACAAACACAGGAATTTGGTAATGAACGGCTTTATTACGAGACGCCGGCTAACTCACGTCTGCTCACACCAATGTCTGCCAAGCAAGAGAACGAGAGGGCGCGCGCCTCGCACATGCGGCAACACCGCGCCACCTTCCGACACTAGTCCGAAACTATGCCACCGTCACATACGCCCCTCTTTTGAGGAGATGTGCCCCACATCGACATATGAAAATCCGCTAAAAACAAGGGGCAACCGCCCAGCGGATTGAAGAAGCAGAGAAACTATGAATAATGATGCGAGATATTGAAATCTTGTACTGTAAGAAGCTATCAGCTAGTCTCAAAAAGACTGTAGAGTTAGCAAAAAAAATTAAATATAAAAACAAACTAAGATCGTGGAAAAACAAGAATGTGGATCCGGGTCAAAAACAAATTTCTGTACTTAGGAGTTGCGATGAGCAACATCCTCGCTGCCGGAGGCATTCACTCCTACAGTAAGAAGAAAAGAGAAGAACTCCTAGCAGAAATCAAGATAAAGGACAGAAATTTCAGAGAATTAAAAAAGGAAACCGAACTGCGGTTCACAACACTTGCTGATGAGAGGAAAGTATTGCTTGAAAAAGTAAGATGCGTAGAAGAACAACCAGGAAGAGGATTGGTCAAATTAGTGGAAGACTCAACTAGCAGTATAACAACTGCCGTTGGGGGCGTAGCTGGGAACATTTCCAGCTACCTGGAGGACCACAAGCCCAAACCACTGGCGAGTTACTACAACACGATCGAGGGAGGAATCCAAAGATGATACGTGGTATGTGCCAACACTGCAAGATCTGTAATTGGAGCTGGAGAAACAGCAGCTGAATATGTTGGCAAACATGTAGTAGCCGGCCATGAGAAAACAGCAATCCAAGACCAAATGGCTGGTGACACAGGAAAGGAAACGTGTTGCCATTCATACTGGTTGCCAGATTCTGAAGGTCTTCCTGTGGCGAAAGAAGTCGCAGAACGTAAACTACCTTATATAGTAAGTGGTTTTGAGTGCATCAAGCCTACTGTTGTTGACACAAGTGGTCAGATGGAGGAAGTTGCAGAGTTCAAAAGAGTTCTTGAAGAACATCCCAGAAAAGACAGATGGCCCACTGACGATGCCACTGCTGAGTACATAAAATGTGCGTGGCCCATTGGAATAGGAGGAGAAGAATATGCCCACATTGGGATGTCCAAGCCCTGTGGTGTGCTAGTGATGCTTTGCTCAAGATTTGATGAAGCAAGAGGCATAAATGTGATACAAAGGATTGGGTTCGGACAGGGAATGAGACGGATTCAAGGTGTAGTTGAAAACAAAAAATACGCCTTAGGAGGTTTGATACTTGAAAAAGAACCAACACTTGAAGTGTTTCGAAAGTACACTGAGACTGGGTCTAGATCAAGTCGGAATTTGCCAACGGTGATGGACTTAGAACTAGTAGCCGTCTCCGGGTTTGACGCCCGCACAATGAAGGGAGGGCTGCAAAGTTACCTGAAGCCCAAACCAGGGGAAATAATCATATTCGGCATGAGAGGAAGTAGCTCTGGGTATGGAATTATTACCACAGGAGGTGTAACTATACCAAGACACTTACTTAAAGGAATGAGTGGAATATGGGTTGGCGGACAAGTCATGAACATCAAAGAGAGATATGAGCCAGACATGGCCATACTCAAGGGCAGTGTAGATACGATGTTTACACGAGCTCTCCCCGGTGAGAAAGTTGGAATGATAACAGCTTCAGGGAAAGTTTTGGATGGAGTGACAATAGAGAGAGAAGGGAAAGTTTTCTTTTCCTTTGGCCACAAGCCCTATTTGGGGGCTTCGGGGCTGCCAATTGTGTCACTTCAGCGCAAGTGCCTTGTTAGCATTTATAGTACTCATAGGCAGTTAGGAACCAGCGATGAATGGCTCACGGAACACCCTGGGCCAATACCGAGCAGTTCGAATGAGAGTGTGCAGAGCCAGATAGACAAAATCACAGATGAGGTTGGACTTGAAAAAGTGGTCCATGGAGTAGCACCTCTTGGGTCAGGAAAGACCACTAGGATAATTCCGGCTTTGTTAGCAAAGGGTGAGTTTGATCGCATAATCGTGTGCGAACCTACCCGAGCAAACTGGAGCAAAGCAAAGATGCAAGTGTGCACAGCGGGATGGTTCGCAACTTTCTTATCACACAAAGGTGGAAGATTGCCAGTGAGAACTTTAGTGGTTCTGGATGAGATACATGAACGCTCTAGCGAGTACCTGTACTTGGAATGCGTTCTGGACTCTCTAGTTAAAACCAACACTAAAGTTGGTGGGCTTACACTAACAGCCACGCCAGTTGGAGGAAGAACTTCCAGCAGCATAGAAGGGTTGAAACTGAGCATAGAGGCCGGAAAAAGAGAGACCAGCTTGGAAAACAGAGAGAAGAAAGGCATGTTTGAGCTCAATAGGTATTGGTTCAAACTTCCAAACAGAAATGAAAATACTTTGATTTTCGTTCCTGGCAGGGGCGAATCAGCCAGCCTGGCATCAAAATTCAGGAATAGGAATCAGCCTATCTTGGAAGTGAGTGGCGAAAATCTTAGTCAAACTTTGGAACAACTTCCAAAGCCTGGAGAGGATAAAACAGGTTACATTATCATAACGACTCCTGTGCTAACGACTGGTGTCACTCTTGACGTAGACAGAGTTGTAGACTCAATGTCTATAAAAAGGCCTGTCTTATTTGATGATACCATAAGACTGCAAACGGAACGAACGCTATGGTGTGAATCGTTACAACGAGCTGGAAGGTGTGGAAGGTACAAGAAGGGTAAATATGAATCCTGTGGAATACTTGAAACACTAGACAAGCGTTGGCAATACACTGAAGCTGATGCAATCGGAGCCAATGCTTTCTTAACCCTATGGAACCCAGAAAAAGAACCGAGTTGGGCAGTCACCATGACACCAACCTTAGCCAAGGGTTTGACTCAACGAGCTGAATGTTCTCCATTACTTATACGCGAAGTGGCAAGGGAAAGTCCTGAACTGCTCACGAGTAAAGCGTTTGGAGGAACAGGGTTCATAGGAAGACCACATGGCTATCGTGTCATACCTGGTGACCTGATAGGAAGGTATCCTGAAATACTTGGCGGCTGCAGGAAGACTGCATTACCAGTAGTGGACTTGACAGCTTCAAGCCATTTTTACAGACACTTGAAGAAAGATGCTATAGTAACTGGAATACGCGAAGTCGCGATAGCAGGAGTCATAGCAGCAGGTGTTATGGTCGGTGGAAGTTTAGCTGTTACGTTGTTTAGCAATCAAACTAGAGCTGGGAGTGTCTCTGAGATCACTCGGGTCACCCTTCGTGAGAAAAACTCGGGAAGTGAAAGTGAAAGCGACTTTGAAGACTTCAACGTAGTTTTGGAAGCTGTTGGGTTCTGGGACGACGAAAAACCGGAGGAGAGGTACCAAGAAATAAAAGACTTTTTGGTCGAGAGGAAAGTAAGAATCTCACACTTCATACCTCCAAGAGCTAGAATGCTGGAAGAGATATGTTAAGGCTTGGAAAAGTTGGTTTCTGGCATTCCAGAAAGAGACTGTTCGGATGATTACTGTGTGTTCATTGGTGATCTAGTGAGACAGAAGGACATGAAAAAGGACCCCACCTGGTACAAAGATACCTTGGTTGATAGAGTTTCAAAGGCTCTGGTAATTAACTCTCCGAAAGTTTTAACAAGAGCAAGGAACATGGATGTAGTAATGACCTTACATGCCATGGGAAGACAGAGAGGCTACGACAGCGAAGTAGTTGGTGGAAGCATCTATCAAGGAGAGGTTTTCATGTACTTGCACAAAATTGCTGGGAAACCAAAGCCATTGAATGTCCTTAAACAGGAGATTGAGAAAGTGCTCGGTCAAAAAGTAAAACATTTGGAAACCGAAGGAGTCGGTGGCAATGATGGTAACGAAGAATACCCAAAGTACTCAATGCCAAGAGCAATGAGCGTTGAGACTGGCTGGAATGAGGATTGGAAAGGAGTTCTTAAGGAAGAAACTTCATGCACTGGAACGTATGGACTCGCCTATATAAGAAGCCAATTTGGTCCTTGTTTCCTAATAGCTGGAGCTGTAGGCATGGAGTGTGGCAAGAGATTGCCCAGCACTATAGCCTTGGTTGTTGGTAGTGGGCTCTGTCTACTCAAAGCTAGACACGAACTCAATATAGTTCACGCAGTGCTCATTGGAGCTGGCATAGGCATGATTGCTGGAGGTGTAGTTGCTCTTGTTTCCAAGAAAATAGAGGATGATCAACTGGCTGGACCTTTGCAGCATGCAGACACCCCATGGTGGGCGTCTGCTGCAACTGAGATAGGTTTCAGAGTGGCTGTTTTTGGAAGAAAGATGCTAGCAGTACCAATTGCTGTCAAAATACTCGACAAGGTATACGGAGAGCCTATTGCCAAAGTGGAGGACATAGGGGTTGAGATTGAAGCAGAACCAACTGGAACAGACACAACCGGACTCGAGATGATCATGGGTGCCTTGAGAGCTAGCATGGTCGGTTTCAAACTTGCTAAGAGAGGCTATACTGAAACTGAAAGAGCCAGACAGGATGGTCTTGGTGTAGGGGTTCTTGGAAGACAGCCTATCACCACAGGTTTTTTGTCACAAGGAAAGATTAACATTGGGATAGGCGTTGGCTTTGACATCATCAGCGCATTGACGCTAGGAGCTGGATATGTTTCGGGTCTTGCATATGTGGACTTGCTTAAGAAGCGAGACAGGGAAAGCGGAGACGTTCTTCTTAGAGTACAACAGGGTGCCGTCAGGAATGAACTTTCCAGCAACATAACTGGTCCACTGGCCAAGGGAACTGAAAGAGATCTTGGCGATTTAATGATACCACCAGTTGAGGATTCGTGGATTGAAGATCTGCTTTGGATTTGTGTGCAGCCTGTGTCAATGTTGATGCTGCTATTGTCATGGAATTTGTCTGATAGCGGTCTGCTTGGCAAACTCCGAGGGGGAGAAACAGGACACATTCAAGGAGATGGTCCCGTGTATTGCCCCAAGGTATGGAGGAAACTGTTGTTCAGTTTAGGAGGAGGTGAGTGGAACTCATCGATAGCGATCAAAGGAGCACAGCTCCTCACTCTCGGAACGGTCACCAGGCTATTAGCCAATGAAAAGATCACTCCCGCGATGTTTGAAGGGAACTATTGGGCTATCAAGACTGTTTTTCCGGACTCCCACTGGTCTCAAAAATGCAAGATGCAAGAGACAAAGTGGTGATGAAAGGTAAAGTCAGAACAATTGTTCCGATCAAAGTAGCCAAGAGTTCAGTGAGACTTTTTGGAATGGCGGAAACTGGCGGAGTAAGACAGTTTAAGGGCTGGCTTGGTGAGCGTGGACGACTTCCAAAGCTTGAAGAACCGGGAAAAATTCTTTTTCTTGGCTGTGGGAATGGAGCTTGGCTCACGTGTGTGGACAAACTGATTCCAAAGACCATTGAGTTCAGTTTCATGACTCTCAAAAGTAGGCCAGAATACCCGAAGGCTGCTTTTCTTGAGAATCGAGTTGTCACTGACGTCGGAGGAGAGAGTGGAAACTTAACATATCAGAGAGACACAGATGCTATTGGACCTAAGTTTGATTGGATACTGAGTACGGCCTGGACGGTCGGAAAAGAGTCTGTCAACTTAAAGAACATTCGTATCTTGCGTTCACTGCGTGAGTTGAGTGGTAAACTAATCCGAGGCGGGTCAATGACTATTGAATGCGAAGCTGGACATGATCGCTATTGGAAGCTTTTGGATGATATCTCGACAAGTTTCTCAGCAAGTGACGTAGTACACTCCAATCACAAAAAACCCTGGGCCATATCGATATTGGTCACCATGGTGGGCTACAAAAAAGGAAGCCACTATGTCTCAACCAAGAGAGACTGGATTGAGAGAAAGATAGCAGTTGAACTGGAAACTACTCTGGAGGAGGTTGGAATTAGGACAGCGCAAGAGATGTGTTGATCTCGAACGTCTATATGATGAAAACGAAGATCCAACATACGGGAGGATAACCCCAGCTGTCAGAGAAGCAAGTACCACTACGAGCTGCCTCGTTAAGAACGTTGAGAACAGGAAGAATTCAACTGCGGTAAAGAAGCACCTCAAACTTCTAGGGATTACGGTCCTAGGAATACACTGGAAGAGGCTAATTTTGTACGGAAGGATGTTTGGAACCCTTGGGAAGGTATTTATGACTCAACCGCGAGCTCATGTGGGCATTTCGCAAATTGTCAACGGCAGCAGCCTTACGAGGTATGTGCCACCAGGCTTTGCATGGCCTACTGACGATTCTGCGAAAGCACTCTTAGCTTCGATGCATAGTAGAATGGATGTTCCAGCATGCTGGGACAGTGAGAACCTTGGAATGTACAGGAGAGGGTTTAGCCATATAGTACGTAGAATTAAAGCAAGCGGCTACAATGGCAGCATTCTAACGGCAGATGAAACAAGAGAAAAGTCCAACCGCAGAGGAGGCAGAGGTATCCTCGAAGACACCAGTATGAGAGAGTGCTTGGATGACCAAAACTTCGAAGAACATCTCAATGCGGACAAGATGCGCTTCATCGGTGGCGATCCTGCTCTAAGGTACGTAACGGCTATGGCCAAGTACGAAAGAAAGGAGAGCGGAATTGCCGCAGTAAGGCCAAAACCTAGGATAATCCAGTACGCGCCAATTCCGGTGCGGGTCAACATGCTCAGGGCTGTTGGAAAGTTGTGGGACTCTGTGATGTCGGATCATGGAGTTCTACCTTTCATGGCACCTCCGTATGGACAGCTCGGAATGGGGAGGTACATTGAATCCTTTTGGAGTCAGTTGAGAACCCCAGCGGCAGTTACGGATGATGTGTCAAGGTGGGACGTACGTATGTGCGCACCTTACCTTACACTTGAGTGCGAGATGTTATGCAGTTTGGTTCCAACGGAAAGACGGTTCCTTGAGGAATACTACTCAATGTGGATAGACGGAGTGATTCTCACTCCGGATGGCCACATCTTTGTCTCCGACGGACAGAGAGGAAGCGGGATGTATCCGACGTATTTTGGAAACTCAGTGTGTAATGCCGTGCAGATGGGAGTTCGCGCAGAAAAAGCAGGAGTTTGCAGTGTTGAAAATTTTCTAGATGGAAAAACACTCACTCCACTGGTGTCGGGAGATGACTCAGTTGTTGGAGGTGATATTAGTCAAGTCACAAGATACGCAAATGAAACGAGACACAGCCGTGAGAGCGGTTTTATTCGAAAAGGAATTGGGGAATATGAACCCTCACTGGTTGTTACTCGCGTGGAGGACATCGATTTTTGTTCCCATCAGTACCGCAAGGTCAAAGTTGGAGGCAAAAATCTTTACCTTCCAGTGCGTGATTCAAGACGTATCATGGACACACTGTACTGGGACCTGAGTTTGAGCAGGCCCAGTAATACCAAGGAAAGGTTGGATCTACTAAGTAGTACGGCAACTAGCATGGAAATCAAAACGGCCCCACGTTGGGCGTCACTGTGAAAGCTGACTATTATGCCTTCATGGGAGCACTCACAATGAATCGACAAACACAGGAATTTGGTAATGAACGGCTTTATTACGAGACGCCGGCTAACTCACGTCTGCTCACACCAATGTCTGCCAAGCAAGAGAACGAGAGGGCGCGCGCCTCGCACATGCGGCAACACCGCGCCACCTTCCGACACTAGTCCGAAACTATGCCACCGTCACATTGGTGTTTCTGTGACTAATTACAATTAATTTAGAACACCAAACTAAATTTCAGCATGAAGCAGATCAAGAATGATTGGCGTTCAAGACTTGGAGACTGCAACTTGTCGGACCTCATGATGGTGTCCATGGAAACCCCCTCTGTGGACCAGTTTGATCCAATGCCCACCATCCATCACTGGAATTCTGGACTCAAGCGAGCGAAGAGGCCATTCTATAAGGATGACATGAAAGTAAGCTGTTGTTTTTTATTGAAAACACTGTTACAACTTATATAAAATGTACATATCATTAATGTGTCAGTCTAGCTCGTTTGCCTTTCATCTTCAGACAGGAGTTATGAATTGATAGTGGCACTATAATATAATACATGTGTATCTCTCCTACAGTACTGCTCTCCGACACAGACGCACATTCTCCTGGATGAGGCTGGGAGCTTCATGGAACCGGCAGATATCAATGCTGATGATGATGATTGCGATGTTGATGCTGATTTTGATGTTAATGTTGCGGCTGACAGCTCTGATGATGATGATTATGCAAGCTACAGAGATGTAACCGCCTTTCAAGAGAAGGCCTATGAAATGTTAATAAATCAAATGATATAAATATGTAAAAAAAATCATGATCACTTCATTTGTTTTCTTATGATCCATATCAGAGTTACGTATATTTTATACAATTGAATGTCTTTTACAAAACCTTTCTGGGGGAGACCCCCTGTACCCTGGGGGAGACCCCCTGTACCCCTAGCAGAAGGGGGGCTCCACCCTCCTACCCCACCTACCTCCCCGTAAATCACAATGCTCGTCGATTTGCGCCTAGTAAGAGTCCTTCGGCAGGACTAGTAGAATCTTGGAAGGACTAGTAGATTTTTTCTTTTACTAGTCCTGTGGACTAGTGAACAAAAATGGTTAGTGTCTAACCCTGTATAACAATCATATATATAAACATGAATTAATATTAGAAATTAGAAAATAGTTTAGTGTCAGCCAGATACGATACCTGACCTTAATTTGCGAATTGAGAGTAGAATCAATAATATAGGCCCTATATATATTATATATATATGTAAACACGACATATTAGAAATTACAAAATAGTTTACCATTATACAATATCTGAAATAAATTTGCAAATTGAGATTAGAACTAACATATAGAAACATATATCAAGAATCCATAATTGAGATATGTTCTATTATGGACTCTGGATATAAAAACAGGACATAATATTAGAAATTAGAAAATGGTTTAGCGTCAGCGAGATACGTTATCTGAATAAACGTTGCAAATTGAGATTAGACATTTTAAACTAATATGTTAGTGGTAGAATATTTGCTCTATAAATAAGTTTGTGCATGATTTTTCAGGTACAGGAAAAACATACCTGGTGAAAGAAATAGCGGAAACGTTAAGAAGCTTGGGGAAAATGGTTGCTGTTTTAAGCACAACAGAAAGTTTTGCCCAATATAAAGATTTCGTAACCCGTAAAAATGGAAACATTGAGCCATTTGAATGTCTGGGATTCAAAAAGAAGATGTTGCTGGCAAGTCGTATTGAAATCTAATAGCAAAAATAGGGCAGAATATGGAGTATGATACAGAAACATTAGCGTGTGAGTCAACGTTTATTTGCAAAATGAAATGATATAAGTACATGTTTGTTTGATAACCTTTATTTAACATATTAATTTAAAGTAAAATTAAAATTAAATTAAAAATAATTTTTATGATATGTATTTTGCTAACTTTTAGGTGTGTCTGCTAATGCACTTCTGGAATATAGAGGCTCCACCATTCACAAGTAGGCTGGAATGAGAGATGGTCGTTTCAGTGGAGAACACCTAGCACACCTCATCAACACTGATAATGCATACACGGCAGTGGAAAACAACATTCTGTCAGTTGATGCCATCATCATTGATGAAGTCTCCATGTTGAGTCAGCAAACACTGGAGACCTTAGAAATTATCTGAAGAAAACTGAGGTCATCCGATTTCTTCTTCGGTGGCCTCCAAATAATAATGGCTGGAGATTTCTATCAGCTACCTCCAGTGCCTAGTCGAGAATATGGTGACTATGGTCACTATTGTTTCCTATCTCACACCTTCATCTGCGTCCCACACAAGCTGCAGCTTGTTGAGGTACTTCGCCAGAAAGATGATGTCCTAATCACTTGCATCAACGAGCTAGCTAGGAGTAAATCTCTATCCCCAGGCTCTTGCTCTCGCCTGGCTGAGGTAGCTCGCCCTTTGAAGGCATCAGGTCAGCTTGTCCTTTTCTCTAGAAATTTTGAGGCTGATGTATTCAATGCAGAAAAGCTCAGCCAGCTGCAAGGAAAGCAGACCTTATACACGGTGACCGACTCTGGAGATGGGCAAACATTAAGAAGATCTAGAGTTCCCAGGTATGTTGCCCTCAAAGTCGGTGCACCTGTTGTTCTGGCTGCGAACATATCAGAACAGTACTTCAATAGCCTGTTAGGAACAGTTACTGCGATCACACCTGATGGCCCTCTCGTAAAGTTTGAAGTCAAGGGTCATCAACAGGCAATAATCATCAGTCCTCACCTTTCTTCAATTTTTTCACCGGCACATCAGAAGGTCATTGCAACGAGGAAGCAGCTACCCTTACTGCTTGCGGTTGCAATGACGATCCACAAATGTCAAGGTATGACACTAACATCATTGGAAGTGCACTGCCAGCACATCTTTGCAGCAGGCCAACTCGGAGTCGCTGTCGGATGAGCAACCAGCAGGGAAGACTGCCACAGTTCTTATTCGGGACGGCAACGGAAGAAGACGTGCAAGCCGTACAGCAACAAGTAGCCAGATTATACGAAGACCAGACAGGTTTGACCAAAATTGTAAAAGAACACAAAACTGTGAAACTTTACCAGGCTACAGACGGAAGCAAACACCAAGGGAATAACAAGACTGGCCAATGCCACGGAACAGATGGCCCGTACGATAGGACTATTGGAAGCAAGAATGAAATATACAAACAACTTAGTGACGACCGACATCATACGAGTAATAGATATCATTGGAACCTACCACGAATACATGAATATTATCGATAAAGCCAGAAGCACGTTGACCATACCAAGCCCTTAACCACATCAAGCAGCAACTCCCGCCCGCATTTGAACTCGCGTACTCACCATCCACACAACTATTCCAATATTATACATCCTTGAATGTACAGCTAAAGGTCGCGCACGAGGCAGAAGTATTCACAGGGATAAAACGATTAACGACAGACAACACACAGCAATACCGAGTGCAGCTAAAACGATCAGCAAACCAAGAACAAGAAAAAGAACACAGTATCCAGCAGTCACGCCAGAAACGGGCACTCATCCCAGCACTCGAAAGACAACAATATTAGCAAGATGATGAACATACTAATTGTGTTACTAATTAACACAGTAAAGTCTGGAATATAAGTTAGTTGACTGTGTTGACTTGCTCTAAATCTGTTAGTAAATGTAATGTCTGATATGTAATAAATTATCTTATTGCTCTTCATCCATATCCACTACCGGCAACAACAGTACCAACGCCATGTTATTCAGTAGTATAGTAGAATAACAGTACTTTTTCTCGAATCTATACCGAAAATCGAAAAGAGGAAATTGAACAGTACACAATTCCCAAGGACAAATTTGATGCTAATGGTTCTTGTGATAAGAAGACCAGGCAGCGAACAACCGAAGTCTGATCGTCTCAGTGCTGTCAATGCACAGCGCCCCAAGTGCGTACTTCACTTCTAAGAAACCATTCACCTAAATTGCACCATTACAGTCATTGTCATTTCATAGAGAAATGCCAACGATGCTGCAGCTAGGGCGCATCTAAGCCAGAGCATATTCCGATTTCTACGACCTGGCTATCACGACGAAACAAGAAATAGAAGAATGCAATCACGTACACGAACTAACCACAGAGGATGAGACAGCAGGCAAGCAAGCAAACGTTAAGAGACACTCGTAACAGCATGAGAGAGGAACGACACTGCAGTATATATATATATACTACGTGTGAGTGAGACAAATGTTGTGTCGGCATATACTTTGAAAGTGATAGCTTTCAAACCACAGTCTTCATAATATACGTGCGTATTAGCAAAATACTTTTTGCACATTCCCTACATATACCACCGCCGTCTTCATACATAATACTTCTCTACACTTTAATCCTCTAGTTTAAATTTTACATTGTTTTTGCTCTACAGGGTTGATAGAAGTTATGAACTGTACCTCACAATGGAGCAAGTGACGATTTCAATTCCAGATCGGACGATCATCTCGCAACTTGTCACTATGCCATTAGCGAATCCCTGCGACACAATTCTAGGCTGCTTAAGCGTGACGGGTCGACCGGCGTTTTCATGCGCTGCGGGACGGTTGAGGGTTACGGGTCCCCAGTTTACAAGGGACCAGTGGAGGAGTACTCTGTTGATAATCGAAAAATCGTACTGATCACCGGCGAGCAGCAGGGGGCTGTCGAGGTGAAAGACAAGACAATTATCTGCAACTTGCCGTTGATGAAGACTAATGAGAGGTCGCTATTCTACACGACCAGTGACACTAGAGGTCTGGAGAACGCTGGAGCAATGGATCTTCCCCTCTACCTTGGGGCGCAAATGTCATATTTGCATTACTCGGCCGCCCAGGACAGGCATCAGATTGTGTCGCAACTAAGCGTTGATGTCTGTAGGGTCGAACGAAAAGTCTTGCTTAACACCTTGGCTATTTTACGATCGGAGCCGGATGTAATTTCCCATATTCAGTACGACAACGTTATGGGGAAAGGCATCAGCGCTCTCAGAGCTGGAGAAGCCCTCTACCTATTCAAATGCACCGCAGCTAAGGTCATTGCGAAAAATACTCAAATCGCCTGTTATGAGTACATGCCGGTATTCGTGGGAAAGACTCCAATGTTCCTCAGACCATTTACCAATTTTTTGACAACTGCGTCCCCGGAGATTCCATGCTACACACCCCTTCGTCCTCTTTATCGCTTTGGGTCTGCATGGTACGATGCGCATACGAAACAGGCAGCGGAGCAACCATATGTAATGGAACCCACACGCATCAGGTGTTACGAATTTGCTGACGAGTATAGGGTGCAAGGACTGATGACCATAGAGTCATTCCAAGCGTTCATTACGTCTCTCCAGGTACCTAGTCGTCGACAGGCTTCGATCACCATTTTGTCAGAGGCTGCGTTCAGAACAGTGGATCTCGCGGTGCACGGTACAAGATATATGAGCGCGCTGGCAAACTTCAGAGAAAGCATGTCAGCTGTTGCTAACATGTTAGAGCGAGTCTGGTCGTGTTCCTTTTCTCAGTCATTAAACAAACTCTCGACTCGGCATCAATAATGCGCTCCTTATTAAACGTCGGAATAAGTCTTAAGAATCACCTAGTTGCCCTAATCCGTTTTGATATGTATGTTGCTTCGCAAATGTCAAAGACACCAACCACACAGCAAAAGCGTCGCCTGCATCCGCCCGTTCCCCCAAAGCCCGTTCCCAACTACTCCTCAGATGGCTCCCCGATCCGGTATCCCACACCAAAAAAGATGAAACCACCCAAATGGA